TAACTCTTGTGCATTATCTTGTTGCATTTTGTAGAATGAATTTGGCTGCCATATTTCCCACATTGTTACAATGACCATACTTTATTTGCTGTTATTTTGGTATGAGCTCTTCTGTTCGACAATTTTCTACAATTCAAATGTTGGGATCTGTAATGCTGTATATGTAAAGGATGCTTGTTCGATAAATCATTTTAGATAATGAAATGCGTGCAGGTTATGGACAAAGAGAATAGAATAATAATTCTAAGCATGGCTGCTCTTTTAATGAGTCAACACAGCACATAAAAGCAAAATACTGTGGATGCTGAAAATCTGAAATAAAAACAGAAAGAGCTGGAGAAACTCAGGTCTAGCATCACCTGTGTAGAGAGAAAAAAAAGTTAACATTTTGAGTCCAAAGATTCTTCTTCAGAACGGAGTTTTGTGTTTCTCTCTTCACAGATGCTGCCACACCTGCTAAATTTCTCCAGCATTTGCTGTTTGTATTTTAACCAGCACAGTACGATAGACCGAATGGTCTCCTGATCTGTAAATTCTACAATAAATATAGAGATCTCATGATGCAACAAAGGGATATGCAGCATCCATGAAATAGCAGAACCTTGAATGAGATATGGTCAATTCCTAACCAATAGTTTGAAAAACCTGTCAGTCAGTTTGTGTAAAATGAAAAGGCTTATCAAGGATGAGGGTTTGTACCACTTCTGAGATAAGAAGGCAACCAGACTGAGCCCCATTACCCACAGTTAACTGAGTGAGTACCTCTCGTTCTTCAGGTCACATGGTTCTGCAATTCCATCCCGTTACAGAATCAAGCTCATCATCCAGACTTGACACGCAGTGCAGTACTGAAGACATTCTACACTGTCACAGGTGCCACTTCTCAGCCTAGAAATTAAACTAAGGCCCTCATTTACCTTCTCAGATGGGTGTAAAACATGCATTAGCACAAGTCAAAGAGGAGCTGGGAAGATCCCCTGGCGCCCTAACCAGTATATATTCCTTAATCAACAAGACAAAAAGAGATTACTTTGTCATTACCACATTGTGATTTTTGGCATGTCTTACTTTAACATCAAAGAGCATTTAATTGGCTGAGGGGCAATTTGAGATATCATGAGGTCATGAAAGCTGCTACAGGAATGCAGACTTTAAAAATCTAGTCTGTTATTTTTTTCCTTGGGGAAATGGGTGCCAGTGATGCACCATTGAAAGCATACTGTCCAGGTGCATAACAGCCTGGTACGGCAAATGCTCTGCCCAGGACCGTAAGAAACTACAGAGGGTGTATGCACAGTCCAGACCATCATGGAAGCCAACCTTCCATCCATGGACTCCATTTACACGCCTCGCTGCCATGTAGACAAACAGGAGGCTGGAAGAACACGGCAAGCCAGGCAGCATCTGGAGGAAAGAAGTCAATGTTTCAGATATTACCCTTCAGAACAGAACACAAGCCCAAGCATGTTCAGGAACAGCTTCTTTCCAGCCATTATCAAACTGTTGAATAGTCTCTAGCCTCAAATAATGTAACCTGTATGCCTCTAAGTCTTTTACACCTGTACATCCTTTGCTGGCTGTGATCTGCCTTTGCTGGCTGTGATCTGCCTGTACTGCTCGTAAACAAAACTTTTCACTGTATTTCGGTACACATGAGAATAAAAATCAATCAGGGGGGCATTTGATGTTATCCATTTTCACTTGATCAGTGAGCAATATTGTCAGATTAACAATTCCCAATACATTATCAATCATGAAACTTGGGGCACATACATCATAGAATTTTACAGTACAGGAAACCATCTGGCCCATCATATCTGTACTGGTTTCTGAAAGAGCTACCCAGCTCATCCCACTCTCCAGCCCTTTCTTCACAACTCTCTAACTTCATCCCTTTCCAATATATTTCCAACTCTCTTTTTGAAACCTCCTATGGAATCCGCCTCCAGCACTCTCCCATGCAGAATACTCCAAATCCTAACAACACTCTTAAGAAGTTTCTTCTCATCTCCCACCTAGCTCTCTCGCTGACAAAATGGTGACCCTAGGTACTGACTTACCAACCAGTGGAAACAGAATATCCTTCTTTACCCTATCAAAGTTGTTCAAAATTTCGAACATCTCAATAAGGTCACCTCATAATCTTCTCTGTTCCAAGGAGAACAAGCCCAATTTCTTTAATCTTTCCTTGTATCTAAAATCCCTCATTCCTAGTTTCATTCTAGTAAATCTGCTTTGCATTTTCTCTAGAGTTTCAACATCCCCTTTGTGGAGAAATTTAGATGTCCTAGTTGGCACCACCTGTACTTTTGTAAGTTGATGGGGAAATTACTGTATGAAGATCTCTTTACATTGGAGCAAAGGTCATCATCTTTAAACATTAACTCTTGCTCATTTCATGGCTGCTGCCAGTAATAAAGCGGGAGATGTTAGATGCCGCTCTGTCAGAACAGGAACTAAAAACACAATTGGTGGAATTCTCAACCACGTATTCGCCAACTAGTCCCCTAAACAGCCAGACCTGAATGTTTCCTATATCCAAAGCATTTTGCATAAAGCTTTAAATTGGAGAGGGCATTACATCCAGTTTCTCTTAGGACACTCCAGTCAATGCCAGTTTTCATTTTCTCACCTCTTGATGCAAAGCAACGCTTTCCAAAAAGTTATCCAGTTTTTTTCCACATGACATGGGGTCCCAATTTCCCCAGGGCTGTAGTGTGGACTGGGGCACTGAATGGACTTAGGAACGCTGGCTCATCTAATGGTGGAAGCAAGGCTGGGATGTAGGTCCAGGACAAAACATTAGTCACCCAGAAAAATCGATAATGTTCTTCTCTGCCTTATGAAGTTGGCAGATGGGCAGTGCTTATGCAGTGTGAAAATGGGAGGAAAATGGGGCCATGAGAGAGCTGACATGCCACCACCCCTCCCTAGCCCCAACCTTATCACTTCACTAAGTGTCCAGTCACATTTTGCAGTGTGTGCACGTATACAGCACCAATGGAAGTATTTTACAGCTGATAAATTTCCACAGGGACAGTAGGAGATGTCCCTGGGACTTCTTTGACAGAACCTCAGTTAAGCATCTCATCAGAAAGACAGCACTTGTAACACTGCCATTCCCTCATGACTGCGCTGGCAAGTCAGCCTTGGTTTTTGTACTAAAGTAATCTTTCTGCATCTCACATGTGCCCTTGTTGCTGCCAGCTTATGTTCATGAGGTGACTTTTTCTTGAACCCCTGAACATTGGCAGAATTGACACTTAGAGCCTGACATCGGTGACCCTTTTTGTGAAGCTGGAAGAAAAGTATTCAAATAGAAAGACTTCTGTGAAATTCAATAAACCAAGATATCCTTTATTAAAATAGCACATTTTAAAGGATGGTGCAAAATACAATCATTCAATTCTTTTAATTAATAGCTTTACTGCAATTTTATTTCAATACAGTTGTACAACATAAACAAGTTATACTATTCAATAGATTGGAGTTGTGGAAACCTGTAACAAAGTTTAAAAGCCCATCAGAAGCCAACAGACAATTCAAAAACAAAATAATCAAACCACATCCAACACTTCTAGGTTATAATCAGCAGGACATACATCGAGGCACTCACTCCAACTCATTGTCAAGGAAAGTTGTGTCAGGCATGATGTTAAACAAATGAGACCTTCTACAAGCATATCAGATGCAGTAGATTGCAGGGCCCAATGGCATCATCTGAATCGGGTGAGGAAGTCTTGGCTCAGCCAACACCATCAAGAAATCCTACTTAGGCCACTGGTTTCTGATGACATTTGTAGGACCTTGCTATGTACAAGATTGACTTCAACGGTAGTATGTGCCGCATTTTAAAATAATTAAGACACTTAATCTCTAAAGCAAGTTGCCTTCAAGCTACACATCACCTTGACTTAGAACTATATCGCACTGAAGGCTAAATGTAATGATAGAACACATAACACACTGCAGTCATAATGATGCCCAAGAACCCCTAGGAAGACCCAGTTTAAATTTTAACCAGATTCATTAAAAGGCCCTAGTAATCTTTTGGAATAGCAGGCGGCTGACTGTGTCAGGAATGATTCAGTGGGCTTATGTACGAAGTACAAGGTCTCACTCCAGAGACTTGAGCCTATAATTTGGGCTGACGTTCAGTGCAGTTGAGGCCTTTCAGATGAGTGGACACGAGGAATTCTCCAGCATCTTTGGCCAATACTCATGTTTTAATGATATTGGTTGAGGGATCACAACTAGTCGTTCTCTTGCTGCTTATACATTGGCAGCTATATTTCCCTACAAGTAACTACATTTGAAATATTCTGTTGCCTATAAAATGCTTTAGGATTTCCTGAGGCAAAGCAAGGCATTGTGGGAAAGACAAGTCATCCTGAAAGCTGACACTTCTGACTCTGTGCATGATACATCAATCATGCATTTCTCTCCGAGCACTTTAGCCACACTGCAAACTATAGGAATCTGACAGCTCTACTGATACTTCTCAATTCCTACTCTCAACATGCAACTCCTTCTAACTGCATCAACTGAGTCAATCAATATCTCTGACATTCTGTGGTCCATTATTACACATATCAAATGATTTGCAATCTATATTAATGACTTAGATGAAGGGACTGATATTATTGTAGCCAATTTTGATGATAAAGTTTGGTAGGAAAGCAAATTGAGGAGTTGAAGAGTCTGCAAAGGGATGTAGTGACAATAGTCAAACTGCCAATTTTGTGCCTAATGTAGGGAAATAAGAAGTCGTCCACTTTGGTGTGTAGATGGGGTCTATTTCAACATGCTTATCGCACCGGTGGTTGAAAATCAGGCCTCCAGGAATTCTCATGCTTGTCTTTGTTTTGTTTGTCCTGGTACTGTAACTTTGTCCCAGTTAAACTGATGTCCTTCTATGTTGGAGTGTATTGAAACGAGGGAGAGTCGGTTGTGCCGTTTTGCTGCGAGTTGGCTTCCATGTGTCCTGGTAAGTTTCCTGCCCATCTGTCCTATGTAGTATTTTTTGCAGTTGCTGCACATGATATACAAAATACCATGCATACATACCACTACAGTACAAAACTGGAACCAAGACTGCCCATCATGACAGACCAGACCATACAAATTCGGAGCAGGACAGAACAACAGCACTGAAGATATCACCTAGAAGGGAGACGAAATGTTTGCACAAAAACCAGTCAGCTCGGCGAACCGACCAACAGCTCCAACCACAACCTGAGCTACAGATCTTTGTTAAAACATTTGGTCTCCTTACTTGAGGTATAGCTATTTCTAACCAACCCGTTCAGGTATGATATCTCACATGTCTGAAGCAGGTGGGACTTGAATCTGGGGCCTCCTGACTCAGAGGTAATGACACTACCAGTGCACCACAGCACACACGAAAAGAGATATATACTTGCATTGGAAACATTTCAGAGAAGACTAATTAGGCTGATTCCTGGGATGATGGAGTTGTTCTGAGGAAAGTTTGAGCAGATTAGGCCTATACACAGATTAGTAGACACAGTTATTCAAGATTCTGAGAGTTCTTGACAGGGTAAATACTGAGATAATGTTTCCTGGTGTTGGAGAATCTAGAACTGGGGGCAGAGTTTAAAAATAAATGGGAAACTCCTCAAGACAAAGATGAAGAGTAATCTCTTCATTCAGAGCATCATGGGCCTTTGGAATTCTCTTCTATCAACAGCAGTGGAGGCTAGGTTGCCGAATGTATTCCAGACAGTTATATTTTTGATCAACAGGGGAGTGAAGGCAAAAAAGTGGTTAAACCTACAAATCAGTTCTACCATAATCTCACTGAATGGTAGAGTATACTTGACTGAATGGCCTACACTCACTCCTATTTCATGATGTTGAGAACTTGCAGCACAGTAAGAGCCTATTCAACAAAGCAAGTCTATACACTACATAGGCTCTGTATTAGCTGTAGGTGGACCCTTAATGCTTTAGGCAATTGAATTCCAAGATTTTATACTTGTGCCAAATGGTCATCACCATCATGGTATGCACAAAGAGTGAAAACAACGTTAGCCAAGTCACACAATCAAGTTGAATGTACAGCCGAAGTTTTGACTGGCAGTGAAAAGTACAAAGGGTTTATTGCATCCAGTGAGCAGGTTTGGGAGCCTGAATTGCCTATTCCAAGATCTCGTGTTCAACACATCAGTGGATGCCATTTCCTAACTTAGTTTTTCAGAAAATCAGCAGTTTTTTTTTATTCATTCACAGGATGAGGGCAATGCTAGCTAGGCCAGCACTTATTGCCCAGATGGCAATTGAGAGTCAATCACATTGCTGTGGGTCCACAGGCCAGATCACGCAAGGATGGCAGTTTCCTTCCTAAAGGACATTAGTGAACTACATGGGCTTTTCCAACAATCAACAATGGATTCATGGTCATCATTAGACGCTCAATTTCATTTATTCAATTCAAATTTCACCATCTGCCATTTCAGAATTCAAACTTGTGTTCCCAGGACATTACCTGAGTCTTTGGATTAACAGCCATTGCCTCGCATGCCTGAATAAAACAGGAAATGCTTGAAATTCTCAGCAGGCCAGGAAGCATCTTTGAAGAGAGAGTTAACATTTTAGGTTGATGATTAAAATGTTAACTTGATTGTCATGAATGTTGCCTGCAGCGTAATTGCTGTATTGAGTTTTTATTTCAGTATGTCCCTATTTTCAGTGGCTTGAGGTTGTACAGGAATGTAAAACATACTTAATGCAGTGAACCACTGCACATATGCATGAAATGACCTTGGCAAACAGGATTAAGGAAAATCCTAAGAAATGTTTTTTTTTAATATATGTATATACCACACACACACACAAACTTACATACATAAGGACCAAGAGTGTAGCTAGGGAAAGGGCAGGTCCATTCATGGACAAAAGGAGAAATGAGTGAGCGAGAATGAGTGTATGTGAAGTATGTGGGTGAATACTTTGCATCAGTATTCCCAGAGAAGGACATGGTGGATGGTGCACCTAGAGAGGGGTATGTTGGTCTTCTAGGGCAAGTTGAAATAAAACAGGAAGAGGTGATGGGTGTTTTGAAAAGCAATAAGGATGACTAATCCTCAGGACCTGATTAGATATATCACAGAATACTGACAGTAGAAATTTACAGGGCCTTGACAAAATCTTTGTATCCTCTTTAGTCACAGATGAGGTCCCAGAGGACTGGAGAATAGCCAAAGTTGTTCCTTTGTTTAAGAAAGGCAACAGGGATAATTGAAGAAATTACAGGCAGGTAAGCCTTATGTCAGAAGCAGGGAAATTACTGGAGAAGATTCTTAGGGACAGGGTTGATTCACATTTGGTAAAATATGAACTTATTAGCAATAGGCAGCATGGTTTTGCGCGGGGGAGGTCATGTCTCACAAACTTGATTAAGTTTTTTGAGAAAGTGACGAACATGATTAGGAGGGCAGAGCAGTGGATATTGTTAACATGGACTTTAGCAAGGCCTTTGACAACGTTCCACATGGCAGGCTAATACAGAAGGTGAAGTCACATGGGATTCACGATCACTTGGATACAGAACTGAGTTAGTCATAGCAGACAGAATAGCAGTGGAAGGGTATTTTTCCAACTGGAGATCTGTGATGAGTGGTGTTCCACAGGGATCAGTGCTGGGACTCTGCTGTTTGTAACATACATATATAAATGATTTGGAGTAGAATGTAGGTGGTCTGTTTAATAAGTTTGCAGATGAGAGAAATGTTAGGGAGTTGTAGACAGCGAGGAGGAATGCCAGAGGATACAGCAAGATTTAGAAAGGCTGGAGACTTGGGCAGAGAAATGGCAGGTGGAATTTAATCCGGACAAATGCGAGGTGATACGCTTTGAAAGGTATAATGCTGAAAAGCGGTATACAGTAAATGGCAGAACCCTTAGAAGCGTCAATATTTAGAGGGATCTAGGCCCACAATTCCCTTAAAATGGAAACACAAGTGGATAAGGTGGTCAAGAAGGCATATGGCATATTTGAATTCATTGGTCAGGGCACAGAGTGTAAATATTAACAAGTCATGTTGCAGCTGCATAGGACTTTAGTTAGGTCACAGTTGGAATACCGCATCCAGATCTGCTCGCCCCCCCCCCGCTACCAAAAAGATGTGGAGGCATCGGAAAGAGTATAATAAAGATTTAACAGGATGTTACCTAGATTGGAAGGCATTAGCTTTAAAGCGAGATTAGACAAACTCATTTGTTTTCACTTGAAGTTTGGAGGCTGAGGGGGCGGACTGATAGAGTTTACAAAATTATGAGACACATGGATACAAAGGATAATTGGAGAGTTTTTCCCAGGGTAGACATGTCAGTTACAAGGGGGAATAGGATTAAGGTAAAAGGCGAAAAATTTAAAGCGGATGTGAGTGGCAAGTTTTTATTTATACAGAGGGTGATAAGTGCTTGGAATGTGCTGCCACGGGAGGTGATAGAAGCAGGTACAGCATAATGTTTAAGAGGTACCTGCACAGATACACAAATTCACAAAGGATACAGGGATATGGACTGCATGGAAGCAAAAGGTTTTTAGTCTAAAAAAGGTATCAAGTGACGGCGCAGGCTTGGTGGGCTGAAAGGCCTGTTCGCGTGCTGTACTGTTCTTTGTTGTTTACAAAAAATAATTCTGCATTTCAGAGACATTTAAATATGTTAAATATATCAGGTGGCTAACTAAGGTGTGACAGTTAAGTTTACTCAGAATATTTTGTCATTCCCTTGTCCTGATTTTCTACCTTCCTCTCCTTGAAGTCACTAACTTTCCTGAAAAAAAAATTCTAATTATTTTAAAAGTTGTAATCAATTGTTGATTTAATTGTGCTCCAGGTCTCAGTGCATTTAAATGTGCTTACGCAATGTCCAAACAACAGGGAGAAAGTGATATCAGAATCTAACACTACAGACTGTAGCATGACACAAAGTCAGAGATAAAAATCATTCTTTAAGGCAATATTATACACAACATTATAATTTAAACATGATTCCATTCTCTAACAATATAGATATAGCTAATTAAAAATAGGGAAAATGTATTCTATTTGTTCCAAGGCTGCAGACTACATGACAATCACAACATTGTTAAGATTGCACCATCTCCTCCCGAATCACGACAAACACCAAGATAATAAGTGTTATCAATCAATGGCACCAGCTGAAAGGATTAATTTTAAAACACTCAAAGGGAATCTGACAGAACTAAACATAATTCATTAATGTTATTACTGTTTTTTGGGGTGAGACGCAGTGCAGTGGCTGGGTGACTGTCTGTTCCCTGCCCCATTTATACAGTACACTTTGAAGCATCCAATTGTATATGAAACAGACCCAAGGAGCCAATGGATCCCACTCCTCATGCTGCACAAGCAAAATGTGTTATTGTAATCATTTATAGATAATTAACTCAAATGCTGACCATATCAGTAGCAAAGAGTTTCAGTCAATTTTCATGTTTCAAAAGGAAGAATGCAAATCCATACACTTGTGATAGCGCTGAACTGATTTAGTGCCTTAAAAGGCAACTCACACTGATATTGTTAGCAATGCTCACATCCCATTAATGGTAAAAAGCCATCAGTTCATGAAGTAACAGATTTCAGAGGACATACCATAATAACTGTACAGTTTACATGCACAATCAAATCAAATGAAGAGCCATTTTTAGTACATGAAAACAATTAATATTCTCCCCAAACAAGAATTAAATTCTGATACCTTTCTATTTCAAAAATAAAGTAAGTTTTTATTACTTATAAATTAGATCATTTAGGTTAAAATACTCAGTGAAACTGGCAGACATGTTGTCTATCTTCAATAGATCGGACTCTATAAATTGGTCCTTGTCATTTAATTTAAAAATGGTAGGAAGTGCTTTCATACATCCTTGCCCTAACAAAATTCCGTCGATCTTAGTGCCCATGACCACCCATAGGTTTTTGGAGGAAGGTATTGCAAATTTCCACTATCCTGTGTGTGAAACTGTGCTAACTGATTTCATTCCTAAACAAGCTAGGACCACACATTTACAAGGGATCCAAGGTACTGATTTTGGATAAAATAGTTGCGAACATCCAGTCTATATTCCTCATGGAACTTCGAAATTGAGGATTACAGCTTACGTGGGCTATTTGACCACAAGTGATATCACAGTTGACTTCAATTCCCTATTATCTAACATGCTTTCATCATGCACATGGGCTCTCTGTGGGGTCACTTGACAGGAACAAAGGATGACAATCTTGGCCTGACTGTGGTTACTTCACGTCGTCACAGTTCAAGTCAGGAATCAGCCTACTCTGCACAATGTGGTGATTGAACCAATTACCTCCCTGTTTTGTATGACTCAACTGCTCACTGAAGACAGTGTCGAGGAACAAACAGGTGGCTGGAAAAATGACAGGCTGCAAATTTTTGAAAAGATGAAATTCTTATCTTAGAGAGGACTTGAAATAGATTAAATGATATTATCCAAATGACTCACTGGATCCTGAGGTAGCAGGAAACCCAGTAGGAGGGAAGAATTTGAACTTTACATTAATATTCAAATCATACTGCTCAAGTCAGCTTGGAAATAGATTGCTAAAGGTCTGCAGGCGATACTGTGGAAACATTTACAGTGCAATTGGCTGTTCAAACCAGCTGTATATTAGGGGGGGGGGGGTAGACATTAGGGGCTATGGTAGATGAACTGATAGTTGGCTGAATGACCCATCTCAGTTTTAATTCTCGTCACCTTACAAACTGAACAGAAAGCGTACATTGCATAATCCTGCCTGACAAGCTAGTGTCACATTAAAGAAGTGATTCATGTCAGAAATCACACAGCAATCAATATGAAATAACCTGATTAAAGAACCTGGTGTGCAAACTGCACATTATAAAAATTGGTATTTATGTGCTTAGTCTGTCTCCATCATCCTTAACATAGATACTTATAAGTGGTCCAGCTGACTTTAAATTAAGATAATGTGTACCATGAGTCCATTATACATGTACAGTACCCTTACTGTTCAGTGATGATCCAACTTGAAAGAAAGTAGGTTGAAAACCTTTGTTAGTGATGCAGAAACAATAGCTGGTGCTATTTATTAAAATACTATTGGAGGATATAGCTCAGGATGAGCCACCAACAGAAAAATCTGCCTGTTTAACATGCCAACCATTTCAATTGCATTATAAGGTCCCATTGCAAACACCAGACTGGACAGGTCATGTGGCCTTTAGCTAATGGGGAAGGGCGATGGCAGAGAAAGCAATCAAACAGTCTAACAAAGGTTTTGCTACTGACAGTGTAACATCTGCCCCATATTCAAACAAGCATTCAACTGCTTGAAACCATGCTTATTTTCTGCACATGATTTTTAGGCTGTGGATTTTTCTAGCATCCCCGTTATTTGGAAAGTGTTAAGATCAGATAAAGGATCATTACTTGATTGCATTGATTTTTAAATGAATGCAAAGTAGGGGCAAAGTGAGAAAGTTTCATACAACATCTTATAAGTAACATTCCAGTCTTGTTTAAAATACTGTGAAACTACAGCCTCTGGTGCCAGTAAATAGACACTGCAAGAGAACAAAGCTACCACACAGGATAAAAGATCTTTAAAATGCAGAAAAGTAAAATGGGCACGATCTTGGCATGATGATTAACTCAGACTCCATCTCCAATCATGCATAAGGTGAAATTACTGAGCCACATACAATAGAGTCAAAATTCAACTCCCATACAACTAAAGCTAGATTAGAATCCAGACCTTTTCTTTAAAAAACACACTGCAACCTTCCGGACCAACTTAACATTTACAGCTAATTAAGTATAAAATATTCAAGTAAGAAAGTAAAAGAGAAGTAATGTAAAAATTCCTGATAATCCAGGAAATTAACTGCATAGTTTAAATTTCAGGAAAATGTATGCCTTCTCATACAATTGCAACATTCCCGTTTTCTAGATCAGCCCAACACACTGGAATGAAATTAGGATCAACCCTGAGCTGTGGCACATCAGAAACTGGGTTGCGACTGTCATCCCATTCATTATCTGCACCTGGGATTCCCATAATGACAAGGATCTCTCAATTCGAGTAGTGATACACTCGCTCTCCAAACCATCGGTCTGTGTAATTTTAGCAACCCACAGATGTTAATCTCTGTAATTAAAGACTTGATGAATTCCAGCAAACACGATTATTGCTCAGCTATTGACTCACTTAATTAAATGTGGTATGAACTGCACATTCAACTCCGACAATCCAATCTGTAACTCACTTCCAGATTTTTGTTGCAGTACGTACGACGCCAATTATATTACAATCCGTAACTTACTCCTAAGTATCCATTATTCTACATATAAACCCCCTAAATCCCTTAATTAGATCGAATTTACTACTCTCACCCTCTCCCTTTCTGGACTGTAGCTGGAACTTACTTTAGATCATGGCCGATGACTCCTCCTGACAATTCAATTAATTCTAGTGTCTAAGGTTAAGTTTCTATTGGGTTGCTTGTAGCCATAAATCTTACGTTTTTTAAAAATCCTGAAATTTGTAAAGAATCCGAGCTACAAGAGAATAAAGTCCCACACAGCACAACAAGTGTGTATAACATTATTGGATTGTCCCACAGTAACAAATCACAAATCTTATTCATTACCTAAAGGGGCAGAGAGACCTGAACAAAGTTCTATGAGTGTAATTTAACAATTTGATTATTTCACAAGATGAACAAGATTAATTATATCTGTAAAGATGCTCTAAATGAGGTGAAAAGATTCAGAAACTACAGATTGCAACAACTTAAAGAATTAATTACTTGAGATGCAGCGTTGCTTATTTATCATAAGAGAACTATAGTTATAGCATTTCCATTTTCACTTTTAACAGTTATACAAATACATAAAATAAATCCACATATGTTGCTGCACTTTGTGATTTTAAATAATATTTGTTACATTTTGACAGCCAGTGCAGTGCAGCAAAGAGGGACCCAGCTGACCACAGATTCCCTCTTCCTCTGCCCTACAAGGTTTTGCAACTCATGTGATATATTGTGTTCAAGATGCCCAGAAACATCAAACATATAGTCACCCTCCAAATTCACAGCAGCAATGCATGAATGGCAATACACAAAGGTGCTTGTTTACATTCATCTGATCCTTAACTTAAAATCAATTGCATCCATTAGCAACTTGACTTGCAATTACCAGAGCCTACAGTGAGCAGCAAGCAGGAAGAGAGCAATTAGCCAAAAGCAGCATTTATTCCCAGTTGCAACTAAGCCAGGTGTGGAATCAATAGTTAATAGAAAAGACAGTACTAAAAGTTTTTAAAGCTTGTTTTGTTCAAATGAGAAAGTTATTTGCTCAGACCAACATGCCAACTTCACATCAGATTTCGGGTTCCTTCTTATTTGGTATAATTGAAAGTTGTAGTCCACACTGCATGTGGCAATTACTGTTAACAGTGACACATTAAATCTCTATTTTCTTCTTGGAGAGGTAGCCATTGTTGATTTGGTTCATGATGACGAGAGCTGGAATTACTGGTACAATCAAACAAAAGTACCACAAAACCCCATTAACCTGGGATTTGAACCAATCAGAACACAGACCCAGTACCACTGTAGCTGTGGCCATCAGATATGTCACCAGGCCACATGTGGCGTGATAAAGCCGCAGCCGGGCCACGGAGTACGTGTTAATTAACTGTGGAAACAAGAGGCAGAGTCCACACAGCAGCTGGCCACTGACTGCAATCACAGTCCCTAGCCCAAGGAAGCTGTGCCATGAGGTCAGGTGCAGGGACTCGGAGATATTCTTGCTGGAGACTATGAAGATAAGACCGACTGAGCCAAAGATGGCGGCAAAGACTTGCATCATCCAATGAATTCGTACCTTGGCTTTAATCGAACAAAAGAAGAAAGGTGAACTGTCCAGCGAGAATGTCAGAATGGCCTCAGTCATACAAAAACAGACCTGGAAAAACAAAACAGGCACACTCTCAATGAAATCAACTTCAACTCTACCCTGAAGTCAGGGTGCTATAGCATTAGACTGATGCTCTGTTGCTGTAATTCTTATCCTTTCAGCATCCCTGATCTTCAGCACTCCACTACTGACTGCCATGCTTTCAACTGCCAAGATCCGCAAAATCCTATATTCACACCCTAAACCTCACTCTCTTAAAACCCTAAATCTGGCATTGCTTCTGGTTATCTAACCTAAAACTCAATCTGTCGAATCCTGTTTGATAACACTTTTGAGAAGTGTTTTGGGATGGGGCTTTGCAATGTTAAAGGTACAATAAGTTCAAGCGCCTGTCATTTAAATACCAATTTAAAAAATCAACAGCAAACACCCACATAATGCAGTTGTGCTAAACAGCACCTCCAGCCTCTGGTATTTTGGATAAATGGCTATTTGTCATGTGCTAGCCCACGTAATGCTGTCAGTAGCCAATGTTAGGCAATATGATGGCTCAGTGGTTAGCACTGCTGCCTGACAGCACCAGGGACCCAGGTTGGATTACACCCTCAGGTGACTGTGTGGAGTTTGCACATTCTCCGTGTGTCTGTGTGGGTTTCCTCCAGGTGCTATGGTTTCCTCCCACGGTCCAAGGATGTGCAGATTAGGTGGACTGGCTGTGCTAAATTGCCCATTGTGTCCAGGGATGTGCAGGTTAGATGAATTAGCCGTAGGAAATGCAGGGTTACAGGGTTGCGGTGGGGAGTGGGTCTGAATGGGATGCTCTTCAGAGGATCAGTGTGCACTCGATGGGCCAAGTGGGGGGATTCTATGAACTCATCTCCAGGCAATCACTGGTGGGACTGATCCTGCCCTTAACCAATACCCACAAATTGCACATTTCTCACAGGAATCACTGATAGTTCCAAAACTGGATCAGATTGGCCTCAAGTGATAATTGGACCTAGTCTACGTGCACTTTGCCATAACCCAACAAGGATCACACAGATCCTTGGCTATTTCTTATGTGCAGAAACAGTAAATGCTTTCCACATGCCAACAACAACTACAGAGTGAGGAAGAGGATTTTAACACCTTAGTTTTCAAAGCAAACTTGCACACTGCTTACTATTGCAGCCTCTAATGACCTGAACGTGCAACACAAACTGAGCTTTTCATCATCCAATCTTACGAAATAAATTTTAAAACCCTAGTAATTAAGATTCCTTCCCCTGACTGATCTTAGTTCTTCCCTGCTCTTGTAGAGGCCATGAAGTAACCTGATTTCCCACTGTGCCACAGCTGTCATAGCTGCTGCAAAGTGACAGAGTGGCCTGTGTTCTGAATTTATGTTCACTGTTAGTTCAATAGAGCACTGCTAGGACTGGTGCCACCGCATCAGTTCAAGAGATTTACAATCCACAACTTTCCATGGTTATCACAACTGTGACCACCTCCAAAAGACATGATTTCACACCTCCTTACATAAACAGCAACTGATGCATGCTTCCCTTTGAAAGCAGGGAATCACGCCACCTCTTCGAAGAATGTTCTGTGCCTACACATCCCATCAATCTGACCCAGGGAAACAACTGACAACATAAACACAACTCTGTATTATGTGAAAGACCCAACTTTCACTATGTCACAAATCCATGATTTACAACTTTATCAAACCAGTATACGTTTAGTCTGTGCAATCCAATAAGCAGAAAGCTGCTTGCTTGTACTCCAGACACCCTGCTCTACTGAAGTCCATGCATATTTGTAGAGAGAAACATTCAGTGGTAGCTGGAAAACATGGCATACAGAGTCACTGTCCCAAGAAACAAAAGCAAGATTTCCAGTATAGACAGTGCGTGAGTCATACCAGTTCATACTTTCAGTGCACATCTTTCACACAAGTAGCTGTAACTTGAAAGAGCATCCATGGAAAACTAGTAAGGCTGATGTGAGAGGTGGCTTTTCTTTTGGGGAATATCAGCTCTACTAAATCTAGGATAACATTTGGGCAAAATGTTCTTTTGAAATTCATGCTAGAATACAGCATTTGCATCCTATAAATGTAGCTCATGTGTGCATCAAGGAAATGTGTTAAAGCACTTCACATACCAAATTAGCCTGAGCAATGATAAGAACATCAGGAATAAAGGTGTACAGTTCCTGGAGCCTGTTCAATCCCATTTGATACAATCACAGCTGATCTCCTGCCTGTTCCTCATAACGCTTGATTCTCCGAGGCACCAAAAACTAATTCATTTCAGCCTTAAATATGAACAGATTATTCATAATGTGTGGGGATAATTCCAAAGATTAATTTGAGTGAAGAAATTTCTCATGTCAGTTCTGAATGGCTTATCCTAAGATGATGCCCCCGTGTTCTAAATTCCCCAGAAAGGAGCTGCAACCCAAGTGTCAACCTTGTTGAGTCCAGTCAACATCCAATTTCAGTAACATTACTTCATTCTTTTAAACACCAAAGAGTAGAGAACCAATTTACTCAGCTCATCATCCAGACAACAATGCAGTAAACCTTTGCTGCGCTGCCTTCAATGCAAACATATTCTTCCTTTGATATGGAGACCAAAGTTGCATGTTGTACCCTGGCTGAGTTTCACCAAAACCCCACACAAATGTAACAAGATCTTTTTGTCCTTGTAATTTAATCCTCTTGCAGTAAAGGACAGAGAAATTGAGCCACAAATCCACCCATTTCTTTCCAATCAGCAGAGGACGAATTTACCAATTCCCAGCTTTCTCCCACGGTCTGAATTAAACAAGGCTTTTTAGACAGACTGCTGCTGTCCCAACCGTCAGTATCATCGCATTGTGCCCTTTTACAAAAATTTTAAAATAGTCCATCTCTTGTGGTTCTGAACAAGGGACACTGGACCTGAAACGTTAGCTCTGATTTCTCTCCACAGATGCTGCCAGACTTGCTAAGATTTTCCAGCAATTTCTGTTTCTATTTCAGATTTCCAGCATATGCAGTTCATAGAATCTCTACACTGTGGAAGCAGGCTATTCAGCCCATCGAGTCCTCACCAACCCTCTGAAGAGTGTCCCACCCAGCCCCAGCCCCTATCCTATCCCTGTAGCCCTGCATTTCCCATGGCTAATCTACTTGACCTGTTATTTAGCATGACCATCGTGCTTCCCATTCTCAAGTTTTGCTTCTCTTATAGGGTTGCACATGCAGAATCAACAACAATAATTTATATCATTTACATGATTTCTTTGATGCAGTGAAAATGTCCCAAAGCCCTTTACAGGAATGTTACCAAATCTATTTAACATAGAGGCACAAATTAGGACCAGGTGACAAAAACCTTGGTCAAACATTCTTGACTTATGCTGCTTCAATTATAAATTTACACCCACACTTGCCGTGAGAGTGTTACATCCTACTACTCACAGTGGCAACGTCAGCACCTTGAGAGTTGAGGAGAATGTGAACGCACCATTATGAATATGGACGTTAAAACTGATACGAGAACAGCTGGCACAAAGCATATGCAGACAGACGAATTTTTAAAAATCACTGTGGCAAAATTTTCTTTCACTAGATAGCTTGCTTTTTGGCCTCTCTCACTAAAAGACATATTGCTTCAATAATGTTGCATTTTGCTTATGCAGTGTACAGGATTCAGTATTTGTTTTAAGAGTAATTCCACATCTCTAGGGGTTCACAAGCAGCAAGCCCCAAGGTCTGCACTCTTGACCTTCAAACACATGTAACAGTGGTCTGTTTATACTCATTTTAAGGTCTGCCTAATTAGAATGGAGTACCTGGTTTGGTTTGGAAAGGGAGTGCTGTCATTACCTCACTGGGGGAGAGAGCAAAATTAAAACCAAACAGTAAGATCTTTGAAGTTATCAACTCAGGCTGGAGACAGGATTGAAATTTCACAAGTGATCCAAAAACTCTGGGACACCAGTGTTGTAGACCTCAATGACGCCCCTACAGACAGAAATTTAAGATCTGCTTGCAGTGATGACTGCATGCAAAATAAATTCATAAATTAATCAATAGATTCTCTTTTCTTTATCCAGTGCACTGGAATATTTCTATTTCAAATTATCTGCAGGCCACAAAGCGTAACACTTACAGCGAGAGTCATGCAAGCTGGGTGCCAAGAGAAACGACCTGGAAAAGAGCAAATATTCAGATTCACAAGTGTAGCACTGAGACAATCCAGAATAATATAGTACTTATTGACATGTCGTAATAGGCACCGCTTCAGCACCAGATGCTATTCTGTGATTCTCTATTCTTTCAGCATTTGTTGCCTAGTCCTAATTGCCCTTGAACTGAGTATCTTACTCAGCCCACTTCCAGAGGGCAGTTAAGAGCAAACCACATTGCTGTGGTCTGGAGACACACGTAGGATCAGACTGGGTAAGGGCAGCAGATTACCCTTCCTAAGGGAAATGAGTGAACCAGAAGGGTTTTTACAAAATAAATGGTAGTTTTACAGTCACTATCAGAGTTTCTAGCCGCTTTGGTGGAATTTGAGCCAGTGCATTAACTTGGGCCTCTGAATTATTGGCCAGCGACACAACCATCACACCACCAACTTAATGAAGTCAGTAGTCAGTACTGTACTGCTCTAGGCACAGTGACCAGCACCAGAAAAGGAGGTAGAAGCTGAGATTGAATCAGCTGACAGCAAATGTGTTCTCTTTATCTACCTTACGCCTGTGTAGCAAAAGTCTAGCTTTTGCAGACAGAAGAATGCACATATAACACTCTCCATTATCTGGGAGTGCCACAAAAATGACTCATGAGAAGTCACTGAGAAGTAGGAACATGCTTTCAGTTTGTGAAGTATCACATTGGAAGAACATTTTAATTTGTATGTAACCCACACTGCAGCTAGTAGGGGAAGGTGAAGCTTTATGCTCAGTCCCTTCCTTCTAAATCTTCACTGCCTCTACCACATCCCTTCTTCTCTATTCATGTCTTTTCCATATACCAATTCAAAGCAGGACATAAAAGAGGAGGGTTTCAGATTTCTAAGATTTTTGTTTTAATTCATGCCAGAATATGGACACAAGTAGGCAATGATAGATATATTACTGACTTGTAATTGCCCTGGAGGTGGTTATGGTGAGCTGCCTTCTTGAGTGCTGCAATCCACAGATCTATTAGGAAGGGAGCTCCAGGACTTTGTCCCAAATGGTGAAAGAACAGCAATATAGTTCTGAGTCAGCATGGACCCTAGCTTGGAGAGAAACCTGCAAGTGGTATTCGTGTGCGTGTGGGGTGGGTGTCCCAGAGACTTTAAAACACCCAATGGGAAATGAGGTCTTGTTCCTCTAGCCAAAATGACAATGGGATTTGGGAGGAAACTCAGACTCTGCTGTTGCAGTTACACTTAGCACAAAAAAAGATGGTTGTAACTATTAAAGGATGAGGGTTAAAGAACAGCCATTTCAGCTCCAGGACATGCCTACTGGAGTTCCTCAAAGACATGTCATTTATTACATCAATGGTCAGAAATGTGGATGTTTGCTGATGATTACACGATGTTTAACACTATTTGCAACATCTCAGATACGGAAGCAAAATCCTGGAACTCCACCCCCGAACAGCATTGTACACATTCCTACACAGAATGCATTGCAGCAGTTCAAGAATGCAGCTCAGCACCACCTTAAGGTCAACTAGGGATGGGGAGCAAGTGCTGGCCCAGCCAGTGAAGCACACATTCCATGAACGTACTAAAAAAAAAGTAACTTGAATTGTAACTTGCACGGTGGCTCAGTGGGTTAGCACTGCTGCCTCACAGCATCAGCGACCCGGATTCGATTCCGACCTCCGGCGACTGTCTGTGTGGAGTTTGCACGTTCTCCCCGCGTCTGCATGGATTTCCGCCGTGTGCTCCAATTTCCTCCGACAGTCCAAAGATGTGCAGGTTAGGGTGGACTGGCCATGCTAAATTGCCCGTAGTGTTCAGGGATGTGGCGGTTAGGTGGGTTAGCCATGAGAAATGCAGAGTTATAGGGTAGTGAAATGAGTCTCGGTGGGATGCTCTTTGGAGGGTCGGTGTGGACTTGTTGTGCGGAATGGCCTGTTTCCACATTGTGGGGATTCTACGATAGTAATTAAACCTACAGGGCTAATAGAATGAAGGAATGGGGATCACTGGATTGTTTTGTAGAAGCCAGCACAGATCAAATGACCTCTTTCTCTGTCAATTCCATAAATTTAAACACTCGTGCTGCTGATAATTGTGGATCATGTGTTCTGACTTGCCAAGTATTAGTACAGCAATATATAAGTTGGGTACTGTACCTATTTTGAGAAGAGGGCATACTTTTTACCTAAACCATAGTGGCACTCTGCATTTTTGCAGAGAATAAGGCAATGAGGCAGGTTTGAGTGGCAGGGAAAAACTTTTCTTTTTATTCATTCACAGGATGAGGGAGTCACTGGAGAGCCAGGATTCATTGTCCACCCCTAATTGCCCAGAGGGCAGTTAAGAGTCAACAACATTGCTGTAGGCCTGGAGTCACATGTAGGCCAGACCAGGTAAGAACGGCAATTTCCTTCCCTAAAGGACATTGGTGGACCAGATGGGTTTTTCCGACAATTGACAATGCATTCACAGTCATCATTAGATTCTTAATTCCAGATATTTATTGAAGCAAATTCCAACATCTGCCTTGGCAGGATTTGAACCCAGGTTCCCAGAATATTATCTGGGTCTCTGGAGTAACAGTCCAGTGATAATACCACTAGGCCATCGCCTCCCCATAACCTTGAAAAAGTTACAGAAACAGCAGAATATGATAGGGGTAATTAAAATAAATCAAACAGATCAGCAACCCAAACTCCTCTTTAAGGTTAAGGTGGCTGTAGCTATTAAAAGAATATGCTTCAAAACAAATGTGGGGCAATTAGACCTATGGTTACGGGGAGCTGGGGAGATTGGCACCAAATGACTTATCCCTGGCAAGCTTATACATAGTGAATAGTCTCCTCTGCTATAATAATTGTGATCCTTAATTAAACACTGCAGACACTGTTTTTACAAAGAGCAAGAATATTGGAAAGTAATACCAAATATTGATTAAAGACACTAGATACAGCAGTGAGAATTGATTTAATCTCCAGCACCTTTCCCAATTATGTATACCTACTATTTGACTGCCCCATCTCCAGAGCCCTCGGTACTCAGCACCCCCAATATTACTTTGCCTTTCACTACCTACCTACAAGCTCCATCTACCCCATTCTAATAACGTTGCCCAGTCCTCATTTCACATCCTAACAGATTCCCCTCCTTCCTTTACCCATCCCTCCATTAATATCCCCCAAACAATCCACCTCCTGACACTTGGTACCATTGTCAACCCCCAGTGCCCCTCCCCGAGAAAGGGGATTTACCCAGCCTCGCCCCTTCCCGGTGGGGTGGTACTCACTGGTCCCCAGCCGGCTTAGCATTCCCAAATACAAGCTCAGTCCGATCGCGCTGACATGCGCCGCCGCCACGGCCGCCTTCCTCAGGCAGGGCAGAAGGCCGCCAGCCCACGAGCTGCTCGGCTCGGCCCAGACACCCAGGGGCTCAGGGAGCCGCTGGGGACTCCGCATCGATGGGCCTATCCCGTCCTCCTGGTCCCTGACCACGGCCACCACCCCTCAGTCTCCGGCTTCCTGCGAGCCCCGGGCTTAGCCGGATAGGCCTCACATCCGGGGCGGGGGCGGGGCATGGTCTGGGTGGGACCGGGGAAGGGGGCGTTCTGGGCGGGGCCGGCGGCGGGGCAAGGGCACGGCACGA